GTGGCTGAACCTGGTTGCATACTCCCGAAGGGGCTCGTCCTCACCCTGTCTAAGCATGTATAGGTCGTCTGCGGAGTAGAGGCGATCGGTCTGGATCATGAAATGGTCCAGGAAGACCTGTTTTAGACTGTCAAATGTGTTGATGGTGCGGGGGTTCAGCCTGTAAAACCAGTTTAGGGTCGCGCCACTGAGAGTGGAAGGGAAGAGGAGGCACATGCCTTCGTCAGTGAGGCCCTTGCACCCCAGGGCAGACTGGAAAGAATGTATGTGGGTGAGAGGATCCTCCGTGCCAGTGTAGAAGGCGATGCGGAGTGGCTGGATGTCATTTTCCTGGTGGTAATTAAGGATGCGTTCAGTAAAGGGCCCAGGTCGTGGCTTTGCCCAGAGAGGTTGGTGGTTGCGCTGCTGTTCGCTCTCCAGGCACCGGACTTTCTCGAAGAGAAGCCTCATTGCCGGGTCGGTATGAGGGAGAGTCTCGGGTGCTGGGGGTCTGGTGTGTGGGTGGACATGGGCTGGGTAGAATTCTTCGGACGCCTCGGTGTGATAAGACTCGTAGTCTTCTGAGTAATCCTGCCCCCAGTTCTCCGAGTCCCCTATACCTTCTCCAAGGCGTAGTTGGGTAGGCCTTGGCGAGGGGCCTAGGTGTGTCATCTTTGGGTCTTGGAGATTAACGGAGATAAGAGGGGGTTCCATTTGACGGTCCAGGATACGGTCCCTGCAATCCCTATAGACCTTTGTTGGTTCATGGGGCCGGTTCCTCGACGGGGAGATGCGGAGAAGCCGCGACTTGGTCGTCTCCGGATGGAGGGGACCTTTACGTACCCTTGCTGGGCCTAGGCTAGATTGGGACATTGTGGTGGGAGTGCTCCGGCTGGTTTGGCTGGGTACGCTCAAGTTCCTGGGTAAGGCTGCGTTGGGAGCCTTGGGCCTGATTCATCTCCCAGTTACGCTTCAGTGTGCGGTAGTCATGCTCGAGCTCGACGTTTTTAGCATGAAGATGGTCATATTTCTCAGACATCCTGGTGACACTGGCGCGGAGACTCTCCAGTTCTGCCTGGAGATTGGCATCTGCTGAAGGTCTCTTCTGGGAGGTACCCCCATGGGGGGTATGGTGCTGAGTCCCCTGGCTATCCTCAGTAGGCATAGCTGAGTGTGGAGTGAAGAAGAGGCGACGGGGCCGGATAGGAGAAGGAGCCAGCTGGGCTGGTAGAGAAAAAATGGGATTCAAGTATCGTTTCCCACAGACGGCGCCAAACTGTTGAGGCGGAGGAAGGCAATAAGATCAGAGCGAAGCTGAAACAAACTAATATTGAAACTCTGGGCAGCGACGAATTCGATGTCGTCTCTGTACAGACCAACTTTGGCTACTAAGCCGCCAATCCTTTCAAATCCTTCACCACACAACATCAAATCAAGACCATCTGGCAAACCCTAAAAAAATTTCCACAGCCCAAATAAATCGAAACCCTATCTCTGGAATACCTTTTTCTCTATATGAAATTGGGAATCAAAGAGAGAGAGAGAGAGAGAGAGAGAGAGAGAGAGAGAGGAGGAGACTAACCTTGAAGATGTTCAACAAAATAAAAATCGAAGCCTCCAGATAATCTCCAATAGTAGATCGTCCTCTTCCATCATTGCCCCGCAACCAGGCAAACCAACCTGGTCAGAACCGAACGAAGCATCTGATAGAACGAAGGCTGTGGTCTTTACAATTGAAAGAGATGGGGGCAAAACGGGGAAGAGAAGAAACTAATTAATCAAGGGCAAAACCGTGATTTCACTGTGCTGATGAGAAAAATGAGTTTGCAAAACAGTAAAAAGAGAGGGTCGTTTCGTCATTTCACTGTGCTTAGCTACAGTGTTTAGTTGCATTGGGTTTTAGTATATATATAATATAATTTCATAAATGTAGTTTCCATGCATGCATGTATCTGCAGGCACTATCGAGGATATACTTGGGTGATCAACGAAAGCTCATCTTCTGGTGCTTTAACAACAGAGTTGCTCTTGGATAGATCTTACCCGGTTGTCACCTCTGAATTACGTTGACATCCCAAAGACACGTCAAATCCAACACTATTATGCAAAAAGAAAGTTGGTTTTCAGGGCACTGGAAGAGTGAGAGAGGAGCTATTGATCATCAGAAGTATAGAAGCCATGGTTGGCCTATTAGCTATATTTTCCTGCGCACATAATAACCCAACGTGGATGCATCTCATAACTTCTTCACTTCTTGAGTTAGTCCCCATTGTGGGATCTAAACCTGTCCCTTCCCTTCAACTTTTCCGTGGCTGCAACCATTAATTTGTCAATTTGTAAGAATATAATCAGAGATTTTTTTTAAAAAAAAATTCTGTTATTTTCCTTTCTACTTATATAGCTCAGAAGATATTCCACATAGTCTTAGACGAAAACTCTTTCTTTGTCCACTTACTATCTCCAAAACTAAGACACTAAACCTAGACATCCGACTTAACAGAGAAGTGTCCATGCATCACATACTTTGGAAGCATATATCCACTGTATATCAATAACATAAAAGTCGATTTTGTTAGTAGTATGAATTGGATTATTGATATAGATTAATGCACACAATTGTCACATAAGCCATCAAGCCTCGCTAAATTATATATATACTAAAGCTCAATCCAACTCTACACTGTATTTAAGCACAGTGTAATGATGAAAATGTCCCTATTTTTAGTATTATTTTCAATTTTGTTTTCTCATCAGCGCCGAAAATGACCTCAACTTAACATTTTCTGTTCTTCCCTTTTTTGTCCCTTCTCCTTCTGTCTTTCTTCCCCTGTAAATGTTTCGTTCGCTCTGAGAAGGAGTTCATCTCCAGTTGATTTCAAACTAGCTGGTTGGCCTGGTTGAGGGGCAACGATGGAAGATTTGCGTTCATTGTTGGAGATGCTTTGGTGGCCATTGATTAAATAGACTGAGGTTATACTTTTGTCCATTAGATTAATAGAATGCTTAAATTGTTGTGTTGTCTTGTTGGATTTTTGAACTTAATTATGTGATAATAGTTGTTGTTTTCACTCAAAATTTTCTATTTATCTACACTAACATAGTTAAAACCTCCGTAGAGGATAAGAAAGAACATAAGCCACCTCTGCAGCAAAGCTAACAATAGAAAGAACCCCTTCTAACAGAGATCAACGTAGAAAAATCCTCTTCCATCACCTTGTAGCATAGATATAAAGACCTATCCAAACTCTTTTGAATAATGAGTAGCTCAATATTGCCGATATTTTGATGTTTTGACTACTACTTGATTTATTAAAATATGGTTAGTATTTTAACATGACAAACAACATAAAAAAAAACATGTTATTATCCTATTTTTTGTAATTTAGACTTGCTAAACAAAGCATGATGCCAATATTTAGATCTTCATGTCTATATAAATAGCATCATCTTTCCTACATATTTTCACAACTTTGTACGTATTTCACACGGTTTTAAAATTAAACAAATGAGATTATGGAAGTAAATATTCTCGCATTTATTGCTACTGCACTGTTTATTCCCTGTTATTTTGAGGTCATATTTAGTATTTAGAGTTTGCCTCGATTTAGTACCGTTCTCGTGGCCCGCACCTTGAATAGCCGGGACATTGAGGAATATCCAGAAAGGCATTTAGGGAATACCCAAATTCCATAGCTTTAGGTCTGCTATCCCGATTATGATTTCCTACCCTTAACCGGTAACCCGGTCAAACCGCCCAAACCAAACCGATGGTTTGGGTTGGTTTGATTTTTTTTTCAATTTTTTTTGGTCATCGGTTTGAACCCAAACCCATCCGAAATATATGGTTCGGTGTACGGTTTGCAATATTCAAAACCACAGTTTAACCAAACCAAACTAAAGATATTAATATATATATATATAATATTATTATAAGAAATATATATATATATAATACATAGTTTCAATCTTTTTTTTTTCTTCTCTCTCAATCTCTCTGTTTGTCTTGTCTTCATCATTCCCACTCTCTCTATTTTTTTTTCTCCTTCTTCTTATGTTAGTCTTCACTCCCTCTTCTTCTTCTTCTTCTTCTTCTCCATCTCTCCCTTTTTTTTTCTTCTTCTCCTCTCCATCGCTTTATTTCTTCTCTCTCTCTCTCTCTCTCTCTCTCAGAAAGCCAAAAAACTGAAACCGAACCAAACCAAACCACCTAGTCTGGTTAACTGAAGTAGTCGGTTTTCATCAATTATGATTTGGTTTCGGTTTTCAAAATAGCCAAACCAAAACCTACGGTTCGGTATTCAGGTTGAGCCCAAAACCGAACCAACCCAAATCAAGCCCAAGCCTAGTGGGCACCATTGCTAGTATTTACTAGGTCCCCACAATTCAATTGGTACTTCCTTGTGTTTGATCAAGCACGAACAACCTCGCCATGCTAAAATCTAATATATTACCTCGCCATGCTAAAATCTTGGGGTTTATTTCTGCATGCGCATTCATTTTGAATTGGGCTTTTTGGAGTTGTCCAGTCCGCACATCTTACAGAACAGAAAAGGAACACTACAAAGCAAAACCACTGCTACAGCCTACAACCCTCCCTGACCAACTAAATCGAACAAACAATTATATTTAGCAGCAGGAGGGAGAGAATGAATCCAAACATGGGGAGACATGTACAAATGATCAGCCAAAGCCAAAGCGTCTGTAGAAAAATTCGCCTCACGTGGGACACACTAAAAGGAAATTTCCTCAAAACAAGCCAAGAAATGAATATTCTTAACCAAAGTGTAGGAGACGCCAAGGGACTTCACAAACTTTGTTAACAGAATCAATTAGGAGCTTAGAATCTCCTTCAACCAAAATCTTACTAAGACCTTTAGATTTGGCACGAATATACACTTAGACATTACAAAAGCAAAATTAAGATTATACCATACAGTGTCTGCCCTTTGCATCAGAGCTTATATATTAAAATAATTTAGAATATCGTATTGTATTAAAAACAAAACCATAGAATAATCCTTGTTTTTTATTATTAAACAAAAAGGGAGTAATCTTATTACATTGGTCTTGACACATTCAAGCACCAACAAACGAAGAGTGCCCTTGTTAAATTCAAAATTGTAATAAAACAAAATTGAATAAACTTTCTTGCCCTTCTTCGCTTCCAGACTCCCACAAGCATAATGACAATACCAATCGTCAGAACGACGGTGGCGACACTTTTATTGTAATGATACTCGTATTATTTCCACTCGTATTATTTCCTGCAAAAATCACAAGGCTCTGTTTGTTAGCGACGTGGTGTTAACTAATTGGGGCTCAAACAAGAAATTAAGCAACAAACAAAAATAAATTATTATACCTTGGAAGGTTTATTAGGGTATCTGCTCCAGACTCAGAAAGGATTGGACTCAAACCTCAAATAACAGCTGGGTCTAAGAACTCTTCCTCCACCCACACCACCACAACACTCTGTCATATTTGGGATGGACTCTTTAAGGCAATCGCTGCAGTTTTGTTTGTTCAAATCAGGGCTGCACTGGGCAGTTGCATATATAGTTTGATTTGTTAAAGGCACCAACGCATTCCCTGCTGCAAATTTTAAAACAGAGTTCCCTGCTGCAGCTTTCTCACTTAAATTTCCAAATAAGGGGTCGCGCACCTGCTTGTACTGTTCAGCGTTTGATATGTTATTTGGGCTCGGCACAAACTTTACAGGCTCATATTCAAGCACACCGAAAATCGAGATGTTCGAGTATCGAACCGTACAGCGCTCTGCCCATATGATTGCTTCCTTCTGATTAGTACAGTTCTGCAGGAGAATGGAAACAGAGTCCTTGAAACAGGTGCGGCAATCTTTGAGTGCAACGTCCCCTCTGCATACGGCAATTGCGTTCACTTTGTTGGGGGCTCGTCCCAGAGAAGAACTGTAAAATCTGGGATTGATTTTGGGGTTGGTGAAAGAGGAGAGGAGTGTATTGAGGTTTTGATTGTAGATGTTTCCATTGTTGGTGTTTTTAGTATTGAAGCAGCTCCAGCAGTACTCTGCTCTCATCGTGCAAACACCGCTGGTGCTATGGTCGCCCACTATGGTAGGAGCAAGAGGGGCCAAGACCAAGAGTATAGGAAGAATGAAGAAAATTAGCAATCTTGAGGAACCCATTTCTCTGTTTGTTCCTCTGTATGAAAATAACTTCGGCTTTTATAGCAAAAACTATCCCGATACAGGAAGTAGACTCTACATGTAGATGCTTTTCTCAAATCCAGGATAATAATAAGAATTAATTGTGGCAGTGTTTGATCGGCAAAAAGTGGAAGATCCAGATAGATTTAGTTGATACGATATTAATTCTTTATGTCATGCTCATGTTGATACTGTGGATCGGTGGCCATCCTGTAGTAATATTGTGCCTCGTGTGTTTGTCTTGAAAAGCAGAAAAAAAAATTAGCAAGAAAATCCATCATTCTGATCTTGAATGCTTTGTATCACCGGTCCATATTTAAAAATGAATTCCAAAAGAATAGAACTTGCAATGAAAGATACTAAGATGGATCAAATCTGAGCACCCCTATGTATATGTCATCGTGCACGCGGAGACTGAGTGGTCAATTTTTACCGGTCGGCTCGGCAATTAGGGTTTCCTTGCCTGCCCAGTTGAACACCATGTCCAATTGGCAATTAGGGTTCTTGCTTTCTAATTGTCATTAATCTTGAAAATGAATATAGAAGTTGAGACATCTTCTTTTGGCTCGTTGTACAAGGTGAACCTGCAGAGGTATATATGATAAGGTTAAGGATCTCAATTGATGTGTTTGTTCTGAGTGGTGCTGGTGCTTCTCAAACAAGAAATAAGAATATATAAAAGCTTCGGCTAGAGCTTTTTATTCTCAGAAAGTAGAGCTCTGACCTCTGAGTGGTGCTGGTGCACACACCACCAAGTTAAATCGATGCTTCCAATTAAGTGGAAGACGAAGACGAAGACGAATTAGTGGAAGATGAAGTGGAAGACTAAGACGAAGACGAAGACATGGTTTACCTTAGTGGAAGACGAAGAAGAAGACTCCAGCATATTCTAATTATAGTGCTTGCACTTTTTCTTTTTTCTTTTGAAGCCACTCTGTCTGTGTTCCATGCATGATCATGGTCCAGACAGAGAGCCCAATTATACATTTCTTGTTTCTTTCATAGCACATTTTTCAGTTGACCCAGGTAAGCTAGTCGATCGAACGAGGAAAGAAAGCCCATAAGGCCATCTCCAGTCATAAGGCTGAATGTAGTCCAAGACTAAAAATTTAGCCCTCCAAAATACTAATTTTTTAAAGAATAGTGCATGGCTAAATTTTTCCATCTCCAGCCATGCAGGGCTATATTTTAGGGGCCTTCATATTTTATTATTTCGAGAAAAACTATAGTACAACACTCATACATTCCACAACTATATATTGTTTAATTTAATTAAACTACTATTTAGAGAAAATATTCCATATATGTGACCACATTTAAAAAAGAAAAAAAAGGTTTCAATATTCTGATCTCCAACGGTCATGACCAAGAATTTTATGTAATTTTTTTTAAACAACACTTGAAAACATTTAAAAAGGTGACCACATTTATATAAAGTAAAATTATAATATAAAAAAATTAAAAATAATAAATAAATAAATAAAGGATGGGTTTCAATGGTCTAACTACCAATGGTCATGACCAATAATTTTTTATACTTTTTTCTTAAACAACACGAATTGAAACATTTAAAAAGGCTTTTAAAAATATATATGCTTTAATGTTGGTTGTTAAAAAGCGAATGCATGGGGCCCAATTTGGCCTAAGCTAAAGCTGTGCTACATTTGGCCCAATTGGAGGGCTAAAGGGCCAAATGTGGCCCTCCAAATTTGGCCAAAATTTTATTTAGCCCATGGCTGGAGAAGAGTTTTGCATTATTTTAGGGCTATATTTGGGATATAGCCCATGACTGGAGATGGCCTAAGCTCCAAACCCATTCCAACCCCAACGACATGTTTTCTTTTCTAGGCAACTTGCCAATTTCGTACGAAAACTAAAAAAAACCTCGTCAGTTTACAAGCTGCAGGTGATGTGAGTTAATTAGTCCCAATGTGGATATGTATCTTGTGGGAACCGAATTAAATCAGACCCTAGATCAAATAATTCATTTCATTTGGGGATTATTTGACCTAATTGGGAATTACTCAACCTAATTGGGAGTTACTTAATTTAATTGAGGATTACCTAATTAAATTGAGAAAATTGATTTGATTCCTACCCCAATTCCTAATTAAATGAGGAGTTACCTAATTAAATTAGGTATTGATTTGATACCTACCATAATTAGGGATTTGATTTACCCCAATTAATCAAATCAATTCCAAATAGGGGATGAATAATTCCCTTCCATTTATGGAATTATTCCTCTGAAACTCTAGCCTCCGAGACCACTATAAATAGGCTCCGGCTACCACACACGGCTCCGGCCACCCGGTTTTCCTTGAAATACCATACCTAACTTAGGCATCGGAGGGCCTTTGGCCAACACCCGCTGGGTGTGGTCCTCTTACCCCGATCTGTTTTGCAGGGAGAAAGAAAAGTAGAGAAGACGAAGGAATCTTAGGCGAATATTCTAGTGGGACGAAATTTGCTCCCACACATCTCATAACTTCTTCACTTCTTGAATTAGTCCCCATTGTGGGATCTATTAGATTTGCACCTGTCCCTTCCCTCCAACTTTTCCATGCCTGCAACCATTAATTTGTCAATTTGTAGAAATATAATCAGAGATAAAAAAATAAAAAAAATTCTGTTTTTTTCCTTTTTACTTACATAACTCAGAAGATATTCCACATCCTCTCCGGATGGAGATAAACAGGCATAATAGTGAAGCCACGGGAAGACATTTTATCAATGCCAATTTGAATTTGAAGCAAGAAGTTACCAACAAAACTTTGGTGCTAAATAAATAAACAAAATCTAAAACCTAAATATGTTACTGTACCGTTGGTACTCAACCACTAGAATGCAGGTTGTGAGGGTACTCTTGGTACTTGCCACCTGCTGTGTAGGTGCCAGTATCAGAGCATTTCCAGCAGTAATCAGCTGTGAATGTGCATATTCCATCATCTTGGGATATGGTGGGAGCAACAAGGTTTAAGATAATAATAGCAAGATTAATGAAGAAAGGCATTGATCTTGAGGAACTCATTTTTCTTGCTCAACTCACAACAAGTAACAACGACTTTGTCTTAAAAATATACTAGGTCTAGATGGTTTCCTGACCCTTAATTTGACCTCAAGTCTTCTCTTTGAATTTTCTTCACTCTTTATCATTGGATTGGAAGACTCTGATGCGGTCCAACCAGAAAGCACAAGGCAATTGCGAGGTCCATCAATAAAAATCTGATGCAAAAATTTATTTTAATTTTAATATTTTAATATGGGCTTAAACCCATTAGCCCAACCCAAATTAATCCGAAATTTATTGGGTTGTGTTGGCTAACTTGATTGGATTTGGGTTTTGTTGAAAACTTGTTTCCAGTCCGGATTAGCTTGGCATTTGATAAACCTCTCAAATAAACGACAATTGGTTTTACATACTCACTGCAGTTGTTCAAATATATCAATCAAACACGCATATCAAAGAAAAGAAAATAAATTGTTCCTGATACATACTCACTCCCACCCCACTAGCGAGCATATGGTTCAGTAAAATCTGAATTCTTATTTCCTGACACTTATATTGGATTCATCGGACCCTGTTATGTCTGATCCACTGTTATATTGCAAATAATATGCCGGTCGTGAGGGTAGTGAGAGTGTGACAGAATGGCTGTTAAGCATAGAGACAACTGAAGCCAAGGATGGGCTGCTTGCCACATTTTCTTGGACGCATAGCAATGCAATGTGGATGCATCTCATCATTTCAATTCCTAAACCTGTCGTCAGCTTTGGGTCCGTGATATTTGCCACCGTATCATTCCTCCAATTCCTCCAAGCCTATCAAGTTCATAAACACATTAATTAAAGAAGAAATTATGCTGCTTTCTCTTGTTATGTTTTTTTGGTAGAAAAAGAGTTTGGTAATGTAAAACCTTATATTCATACTCACATAGCTTAAAAGATCCTCCTCATTCTCTCTGTTTCGAAAACTGCTAATCCTTTTACCACTTAAGATTTCAAGAACTAACACGCCAAAACTAAAGACGTCCGACTTGACTGAAAAACGTCCATAAATTACATACTCTGGAGCCATATATCCACTGCATTATTGTATTCATCAAATTAAAATTTTAGTTATGGTGTGAACAAGCACAACAATGTAATTTAGCTTTGAAATTTGCAGATACTTACTAGGTTCCCACAATTGTCTTAGTATCTCCTTGAGTTTGATCCATCATAAACAATCTCGCCATGCCAAAATCCGCAATTTTAGGATTCATATCTTCATCCAACAGAATGTTGCTAGGTTTAAGATCACGGTGAATAATTCGAAGTCGAGAATCTTCGTGAAGGTAAAGAAGCCCTCGAGCAATGCCTCCTATGATTTTGTAACGTGTTTCCCAATCCAAATGTGCGTGACCAGTCGGATCTAAATACAATTCCATCAAAATGAAACATGATTTTGTT